TACATTTAAAAAAAATTTATGAAGAAGGAGATGGATGATTATTATTATTGTATATTATATAAAAAAGGTGAAGAAAGAAAGATTGAATCTCCTTGCCATTTATTGTTATTATTATTATTATTGCTCCCTTGTCACATTTGAACCAACTCCCGACTTGTCGTTTCCTATTCGGATTCCACTCGAACAGTGGCCTGGCGCGCAATGCCAATCAACAGCCTCCTCGGTGTGTGTGTGCGTGTGTGTCCCTGATCTATCTCCATCATCTTTGGAATATTTGCTGAGACATATAAGCTCTTGGTTAGTTCCTTAAAAGAGTTTCTTTTCGTGCTAATCCTTTCCTTTTCTGCCTGACTAGTTTCAAAGTAGAACTTTGCACAAATTTGTAACAGTTCGAGTTGCCACACTCCCCCTTGTAGCCCACAAAGCAAGAGAAAAGAGTAAGGAGATATTCAAAAGATACATAACATAATAAACAGAAATATGAGGCAGAAACAGTAGTAATGTGGAAGAGTGATAGAGTTTTATCGGATATTATAAATCACAGGGAGTGAATGCATCTGCGCTATTCAGAATGAGAATTTTGAGCCATATCACCAATTATCTCCAGCCTTCATTGTCTTTTACCATCCTGAGGAACCCAGCCAGTTATGAAGTGTACACCTCCCTACGTGACTAACTTCTGTGGATTTCATTGACTGATGAGGCCATGTTTTGGTTTGACCACCACTAGCTCTTCTCCAATCAGATCCAACCTTTGTCAGCTAACATTGACAGTCGACAGAAGCGATGGCTAGGAATGCAGAACACATGTCCTAACCATCTCGAACGATGTAACTTCACAACCGCATCGATTGATTTCACCTACTTACCTAGAACTCGGCCGAAGCCTAACCTCAGTATTATCATGCCACCTAACACACGAGGTAGAACGCAAGCGGCTATGATCAACGACAGTTAACCGACCCTTTCATGTCTTCCACTTTCAATGATCATGCCTCTCTCACAGCCAGCCATAAAGCAGTACGGAGCAGAGTTCTGAGCAGTACACACGCCCTTTGGTTGACAGCCGTCTGATCTTTTTTTCATTTTTTTATTTTGATTATAGCTTGACTCCACACCGTATTTTTGGTACATGTATGAAATTTTCAGCATGTGATATCGATAGCCCAAATTTTGCAGGCCGACCACTGATATCAGGTGTGCGGCGGCAGGGGATCGAACCCCGCACCATATGCATGGTCGGCGAGAGTCCTAACCGCTGTGATCAGCAGTGTGGAGCCAGGGAAGGTGGCTGTTGATGAAAGTATGTGAAGTTGCCTGTTCCTTAATGCTTTTGATGACAAGTGAGCCGAGTTTCTGACTCATATAGAAGAACTGACTGACTTAACAGTGGTGTTGAATATCCGAATTTCGGCTGTGTACACTGAGCGCAGAAGATTTCCAGCCTGATTTACCAATGATGAATATCTGTCTTGCTTGTCCTATCTTGAATGGTTTTGATATCCTCATGTGTGCTGTCGCCTGTAGTCAAAATGATGCTAACTGGTCAGATAAGATAAGTGAAGGAAGCAACGTCTTTAAATTTATTCTGATTATAGTGACTGGTGCTAATTGTTGTTGGTTGGTTGTTTTTTTGCATCACCTCCGTCTTCTCTATGATCATTTGAATTCCTGTCTTCAATGGCTGCTTCTTCTGTCGGCTTGTTGGTTTCCCTCACTGTCTTTGAGTTTATGTGGCATTAGAAATAAATCGTTCACGAAGTTCACATCTTCTAGAATCTTCTTATGGACCCAACATATTCTTGTCTTCTCGCTCACCATTTACAGTTTTCCGCATAATCCAGTCCACCACAATTATGAATATCATCGGTGGTGGTAAGGGTAGCCTTGTCTTACTCTCGTCTTCACTTTAAAGGCTTCACTGAGTTTTTCATTGCAGATCCCTTGATATGTAAGATTGTTACGTAGCTGTTGAATGAGGTTGGTAGGAACTGAAATATACCACTCTCACTGTTACTTCTTCTCTGTCATTAAGTGTGATTGTTAAGGTTGTATTCACTTATCTACCTACTCGTGTATATTAGTTAGTGTACTAACTGCTACGTAGTTGCACGAAAAATAGACTAAACGTTTACAAGATTCCTTGTTAATTAGCACGCGTATTCAACAATAAAATACGGAACAGGAACGTGATTTACTTTTTGTTTAATGTTATCTTTATAATAGCGTAGTGACTAGACCACATATATATTCGACGTATTATATGTTTAGTTAGTAGAAACTTGTCACCATATGTGGTGGTCTTCATTCATACAAGTGTCTTTAGTGAACAAAAAACATGCTACGGAACATCTAAAACTCAGTTTTCAATGTTACGTTATTTTCAGAGTTACAGTACGAGTGATGAATTATTAAAAAGTTTGTAATTTTCGTAAAATGTGGTTGCTTTATGTGAGGCTGCAGAAAAAACAAGCTTTCACCTTGGGGATTTTTTAATTTTTAAAAAATTTTTTTCTTTTTGATTACAGCTTGATTCCACACCGTATTTTTTGGTACAAGTATGGTATTTTCGGCATGTGATATCGGTAGCCCAAATTTTGCAGGCCGACCATAGATATCAGGTGTGCGTCGGTAGGGGATCGAATCCCGGACCATGTGCATGGTCGGCTAGAGTCCTAACCACTGTGCCACTGAATAGTGGGAATATTTACCCCTGCATTTTCTTTTTATGAAGAATATTCAAAATCTCTTTACGGTAGAGCTTCCACTATGTTTCCAAGTATGTAATAGGAGCTTGAGTGAATTTATATATATATAGGCAAAAACGGAGGAAGACAGAACTTCCAGTGGACATACAGAAGACAGTGGTGATGAAGATAAGCAACAAACCAACCGACAACAAGCAACAGTCACTATCAACGGGATAAATTTGAAAGAGGTTAGTTCCTCCTCTTATGTAGGCAGCATGATTCCAACTATAGGCGACAGCACGGATGAGAAGGACAAGACCAGAATTGGAAAGGCAAGAAAGACTTTCATCGCTCTCAAATCATTTGGGAAATCTTCTGCGCTTCACTCAGCGTAATCAACGAAATTCGGATATTCAGCACCAATGTCAACTGGGTCACTCACTCCTTCTATGTGGGTCAGAAACTTGATGAGTACTTCACGGGAAGCATTTCTAACTTGTGGATTCAGCCTTACATGAACAGCTGCCACCTTTGCTGGCCCAGGGCTGAAGATCAGATGGCTAGCCAGAAAGGGTTGGCAGCAAGAAACTTTGGGAAAGAACTAACCAAGAGCTTATATGTCTCAACAAACACATTGAGGAGACCGTCGAATGACATCACACTCCACGCTATCACTCGAATGGAACCTGAATGGGAAGCGATGACCAGGGTGTAATTTCGAGTGTGATATAGGGCAAATGAGAGACTATGAAAAATCGCGGAGCCAGCTGTAGTGGACCGCAGAGGATAGGAAAAAGCGAAGGTGTTCTGTTGAAGTCTTATGTCCAAGGGAACAACAATAATAATATTTCGAACAATAAAACGCAATGGTAGTTAAATCTGATTTCTGTATATATCTCAGTGTGAGGAAATATTTTCATGTGATCAGTTAGTTATAGTGTCATGACTGAAGGGCATTCACTCAAGTTAGATGACAATCCCAAAAATAGTAATAACAATAACAAAACCGAGAAGGACAAGTATATTTATCATAAAGTACATATATGTGTAGATTTCTAGCTCATAATCAGTTGAAACAGTTTTGCTATTTCGTACTCTGTTAATTTTAAAACAGCTATCACTTCCACTAGTCTATTACTGATCTATTCATTCATTATATAAGATGAAATTTGATTGATTAGTTTTGTTTTTACGAGTTGATCACGGACTGATATCAGTTAGAGAACCATTGAAAACCAGCAGGGAGTACTGAACAGCTGTTTCATCCTATTTTGGGAATAATATACGGCAGTACTCACCGACTACTACACGCGGTTCAAACCCAGGACCTTCCGATTACAAGGCAAGCTGGTTCGTATACCATTCAGCCTCTGGGGCTCGATTCAATAGCCCATGAATTCTACCAATTCGTGATTTAGAGAGAAGACAGAGGTGATGAAGATAACTAACCACACAACCAACAACAAGCAACACTCACTATCAACGGGATAAATTTGAAAGAGGTCAGTTCCTCCTACTATTATCTAGGCAGCATCATTCCAACCATGAGCGACAGCACGGATGAGAAGGACAAAACCAGAATTGGGAAGACAAGACTCAATGGGGCCCAACTCAATGGGCCAGTCCAAGAATTATAACTTCTGCCAATTCATAACATAGCGCGACCACTTGGCAAAGTCTTCTTCGATGTCATGAATTGTCAGGAGTTAGAATTCATGGGTCGCTGGATGGGGTCCCAGTGTCTTAATGGTCTAAGAGCCAGCTCGCCTTATAACGCGAAGGTCCTGGGTTTGAACGGCACAGTTGGGTGCATACTGATGAAGAGTCCTAGACTAGGAAGAATTAGCTGTCCAGTGCTCCCTGCTGGTTTCCAATGGTTCTCTAACTGATAACAATCCGTGATCAACCCGTAAAAACAAATCTGATCCTTACAAACCAACTACTGAAGGTGATAAACTTTGATTACTGATATTCCAAGCATTCATATTTCCCTTAAGATTAAATAAAGCATTAGAGGAAAGCATAAAAGTGCACTGAAATCCAACCGCATGAAATATTAATTAATCCAGTAACATCTTTTTATAGAAACAAACAGTATGGATTTAAGTTTATATGGATTATTAGCTGTGAAAGTGATGCATTTTTAGTTTCTGTATATAGTTAGTAGTGAAGGTGTACACTTTGACAATTGGGTTAGATTAATTTCAAAAAGAAAATCATTGTTAAACAGTATGACCATGAAATAAAAGTGACAATAATAATAATGATAATAGTAATAATTTATTTTCAGATAAATAATGTTGAACTTACGATAATTGAAAGGATATGGGGAGTATCCCAAAGCTGATACAACAAATAAACGTGCATTGATACATGTATAACACATTAGTAGCGAATGAAATAACAGACAGTGTTATAAATTAGTGAATAAAACGTTATACTCAGAAAGCGTAATATTTAACAATCTTTTATTTAATCAAAGCCTTATTTGTGTGCGTTGGTGGCACAGCTGTAGAATGCTCGCCAACCATGACCTATGTGGTTTGGGGTTCGACCCCCAACAGCCGACGCAATCCTTTATCTCACTCAGTCGGAAATAGGACTGGTTAAGAGGGAAGATTGGGCATGAGGCTAGCGAACCCAACTTGTAAATATAAACACCACAGCTACGGAAACTGCAAAGATGAAGACTGAAACCCTACTTATATTCACTGCTGGCTGGTAGAAATCACTAATCAAAATAAAATCACTGAGAGGATATGCATCATCTGCTAACACTATATAGTCATCAATGTTAAGTCAAGCGTACTCATCACGGAGAGTGTTTCCAACACTCTCTACATTCGTTGGCCTCATCTTACAGATCCTATGGCAGGCTATAAGGAGTTAGAAACGAGAAACTCTGGGAACGAGTCAATCAAGAACCTATCACTCGACAAGTATTCTAAAGAAAATAAAGATGGGTCGGCTACACACTGTCGGGACCATTGAGTGGCACCTCGTGCGATGCAGGCTATTTCTCGAATGGAATCTGAATGGAAAACGACCAGTTGGGCAGTGGTTTGACTGCAACATGGAGGAGAACGTGTGAAGAGGAGATGAGACACTAGTGGAAAACGTGGGGGCAGCTAAAGAGGATTGCAGAGAATAGGCCAAAATGGAGATGTTCTGCTGAAGCCATATGTTCCACTCGGGACCTATAGGAATAATAATACTATATGGTCAGGATATACTGGGCATGAGTAAGTGACAGGTCACACTGCAGTATAGTTAGCCATCCAAATAGGCATAAAACTCCATATCAGCGCTATCTGTCTTTTATTTCACAGGAAAGAGAACATAACACTCAGAATTTTAATAGAGCAATAGCAAAAAATAAAGTAGTTTTATGAGCCTTGATAGGCCCTAGAAGTTACTTCCGACAGAATTAATTTAAGGGAATGAAGATATACCACTTCGAAAGAGACTTGAAACTGCTGCCTATTTCGAAACCTCGTCAGAGAGATAAAGCATATGGAGAAGACCAGTTTTGTGGAATTTCCATTTGTCTTAAAACAAGTTGAAAAAGTGTATCATTTTGTCCACAGAAATTTGGTTATTCACACACAGTGATAAGTATGTTATGCTGTCATATTTACTCACCAGCTTATGCATGCTTTCTCATATATTCGGTTGTAAGCATCATCTTTCAACATGGATATCATATATTCAATTAAGGTAATGACTGTCAGATAAGGACCTGTTTCTTGAATTATTAGAATTTTCCAAAAACTTAAGTACTCGAGAATGTTAATCAGATAACGAACGATTCACTATGTTTAATTTGAAAATGTCATCCACAGTTGAATGTAATGGCGAAAATCGCAATTATTTGTTTATTCTTTTTGAATAAAACGGTAACGCCTCATGAAGTAGGATAAAACGGACCTCAGTTCTTGAAACAATTGACTTCTCCAAAAATCCTGCAACATATCGTCTCCAAGTGATTCAATAACTTGAACGATTGAGGAGGTAGGTGTTTTTCAAGAAATTTATCGTAATCAGTCTGTTGTTATCGCTTTGTTCAAATTCATTAAAAGGAAATAGAGTATGAAGATTGTTAAGAAACGCCTTCCTCCTGAATTTTTCAAGTTACTGATTCGCTTGGTAACGATACGTCGCAGGATTTCCGCCGATGTCACTCGTTTGAAGATCATATATATTGATTATTCTCTTGGGTTCCGATTAGGACATAGAGCTTCGATAGCACGTCTCCATTTTGTCGTCTTCCTTGCAGTCCTTCCCATCTAACTCTACGATTACCCATAAGCTACCACCTTCTCTTCACACCACCTCCTTCATGTCACCCTCGGACACACGCCCTACTCATTGTTTCCCACTGAGATTCCACTAGAGTGATGGCCTGGAGTGCGATGTCACTCAGTGTGTTTCCTAATCCTTCGTTTTATTCAGAACATTCGTTGAGTGACAGGTTCTTGATGGTTTATTTCAACAGTCTCTCATTGCCAATGCTTTCTGGCTGGTTGTCTGATATTCAGTATGAGGTCGGCAAAGGTGGCAGCTGTTGATGAAAGTCTCTAGCAGCCTATTGCAAATGCTTTTGGTGATGCTCAGACCATGTTTCTGACTCATAAAGAAGAACTGGAAGACTTTACGTTAGTGTTGAAAATTCGAGTTACTTTGTTTACGCTTAGTGCAGGGGATTGCCAAACCGATCTCAGAGCGATGAAAGTCTGTCTTGCCTTTACAATTCTGGCTCTGAGTCCCTCATCCGTAGTGTAACCTTCGGCTGAAATACGCTGCCTGGTCAGATTGGTGAAGGAATTGATCTCTTTCAAATTTATTCCACTGATAATGATTGTTGCTTGTTTTTGTTAGTTGGTTGGTTATCTTCATCATCTCTGTTTTCTCTATGTTCGCTTGAAGTTCTGTCTTTGTTGGCTGCTTCTTATTCCAGCTTGTTGGTTTTCTCCAGTAATTCTTCGAATTTGCTTGACACCGAACATAAATCGTCTGTGAAGTTCACGTCTTCTAAATTATCCTCACCTGTCCAATGAATCCCTGTCTTCTTGCCCCTCACACCCTTCCTCATAATCCAGTCTATCACTATTATGAATATCATCGGTGGTGGTAGGGGTAGCTTTGTCTTGCTCTTATCTTCACCTTAAAGGCTTCACTGAGTCTTCTTTTATGGGTCACTTGATATGTTATTGACTGTCCCCTTATTACTTATTATCTTCCTTTTCCAAGCTGTGGTCAAGCAAGTGAACTTTATTCGATTTGCTTTCATCTGAAGTTCTACTTTAGTCTCTCTCTCTCTCTAACCATTCATATTATTTTGATAACAAGCATTTGTATAGGTCGAATGAAATATCCCCTGTTGAAATGGATTTATTTCAAGGAAACTCTCAAGTTGAAATTCATTGAAATTCCAATGTATTCTGTATATACATTACATAATTAGGCATTAGGTTGATCAGCTGCATAATTTTTGCAGTTTACTATATCTATTTGAGATTTGATGAGAATTCAACAGCCCACCCTTAAAAAATTCTTACTAATATAGTGAAATGTTGTAAGTATAAAATTTGGGCACTGTGGTAGAGTATACCTCCATTATAGATAAGATTTCGTTTTCAAAAATCGCACACAGTGGTGTTATACAGTAATATTAACTGATGACCACGTTTCGAGGATAAAAATCTTATCTATAATAGTAAAATGTTGGTTTTATCATGGTGGTAGTTTTCGTAAACCTGAAAATAATTTTCTGGTTAGTAATCCATGTACTGCTTGCTACTTAACAGTAAAATATCTTGTGATACAGTGGGTTAGTGCAAATTACGGCTTTCTGCTTATGTTGCTTACTGCTTTAGCGACAGGATTCACTCCTTCATAATTTATCTACTACAGCACAAATATATATCGACTTAAAGAACTACTGCAATCCACTACAGTTTGCAAACTAATTCCTTCCCTGAGGCTGAAAGCAGTTCTTTTTTTTAGGGATAGTTACTTTTGAAATAATGGGGAAGATTTGTAGCTAAGATGGATGATTTACAATTAGTTTTGTTCTCTGAGCTGGTTGATTTAATTGCTAACCTTTCGTCGTCCACCTCCTAGACAACATCTTCAATGCAGGTTTTAGCGTAAAATGAACTTGTTTAAATTCTCCAGGAATGATGCAGTTGTATCTCCTAGCAACCACTGTCATGACTAGTTGTTAATTTACGCCTGTGCTGATCATTTTTATCGACTTGGTTGGAATTCGAACTTTCTTGTCATGTGATTTACTTTTTATTAGCTGGTAAATTTGGTCGGTAATAATGTGTTTGTCAATTGCTAATTAACCTGAGTAACAGGCCAGGTACTCAACAGAGACATAAATTAACAACCAGTCATGACAATGGTCGTCACGAGGTACAAGCGCATCAGTCATGGAGAATTTAAATGAGTTCATTTTGTACCAAAACCCACGATGGAGATGTTGTCTAGAAGGTGGACAACGAAAGGTTAGCAATTAAATCAACCATTTCAGAGAATACAGTAATTCAATAGTTACTTTTGTTAGAATCAAGCAGTTTAATTCCATATTAGATAAGTTTATCTGACGCAGTATACAGTGAGACATACAGTATTACAGACTGGATAACGTTTTGACCACAATTTACTACTCATAATCATACTAATTATGTCAAATTGATTGAAACAGAAGAAAAACTCTTCCAGTCATCCAATGAACACAAACTATACACACTTAATTCAAACAACGTTCATATCCTACAGCTGAAACTAATATTACAGTGATGACGATGGTGAATAATTTGTCGCCTTTAATAATAATAATATCTTTATTCAAGTATTGGTTTGTAGGGATTCGATTGATTTATTTTTTTATTTTTGATTACAGCTTGATGGCACACCGTATTTTCAGTACAAGTATGGAATTTTCAGCATGGATATCGGTAGCCCAAATTTTGCAGGCCGACCATAGATACCGGGTGTGCGTCGGCGGGGGATCGAACCCTGGACCATGTGCATGGTCGGCGAGAGTTCGAACCACTGTGCCGCCGACGCACACGAGGTTACAGGATTTCATTATGAGCTGGCAGCGGTTAGAGAACTATTGGAAAACCACCTGGGAGTACTGGACAGCTATTTTGTCAGTCTAGTTTGGGACTCTTCATCAGTTCGCATCCACTGGGGTTTGAACCCAGGACCTTCCGGTTACAAGGCAAGATCGTATATCATTAAGCCACTGGGACTCGATCCACTGGTTTGAACCCCTGTGAGTGCGTGCTGTGAAGAGTCCCATACTAAGAAGAAACAGCTCTCCAGTACTCCCTCGTGGTTTTCCAATGGTTCTCTAACCAGTGCTAGCTCATG